CTATTCAGTCTAGAATAACATCCCAAAAAGGACTAGGGGACAGTGTTGACTATCTACACCCCAAGAACCCACAGTCAGTCTTGAGGGAGAAGCTTTGGCATTCTGAGTCCTACAGGCTGGTGGACTTGAGGCTCAGCCTCTATCTTTCTACCACTACAGATTTGGAGCATGTCTGTTTATTCCCTGGAGAAGTCACTATAGCCACTGGATACACACTTGCACACACACACATACACATTCATCGCCATTATTGTCATCATCACCACCACCACCATTATCATCACATCAGCATGACCATCATACCATCATCATTACCACCACCATCATCACCATCATCATCATCATCATCATCATCATCATCATGATTATCTCATCTCCCAAAGACAAACATCTATCCTGAGAAGATGTAGTTCAGAACTGATATGAAAACATATTTTTCTAGCTGGCCTGTAATTTGCCAGGCAGCCCACTATCCAGGAAGTCAGAGGTCATTTATTATGTAGAGAAGACGTAGATCCTTTCCTTCTTCAGCCCACCTCCAAATCACAACCTCCGGTCCTGCCAGAAATACGGAAAGGCCATATACATCTTAACAGTTGCTTGCTTAGTTATACAAATGGGAACATGGAAAAAATTATTCTATTAAGGACTCTATTCTTAGCCATGAGCCCTTGTTTTCCCAAGTTTCCTTCTAGAGAATGGAGGAAGCACCTTCTTTTAGTCATCCTCTACAGTCTGTTTCTAATCCTCTGTTCTCCATGCTGCTTGCATTCCCGTGTTCTGGTTCTGGTTCTGTGTTCTCTGTACATAGCTCTGTACTCCCAGAAGAATCTTAACTCCATACACTCCTGGGCACCACAGTTTGCCCAGCCAACCTGGAATCTTCCATCCTGTGAATTTCTGTTTGCAATGTCTTATAAAGCTATACAGTACTACTATCACCTACAATGCTGACTTTGTGAATGAATGACTGCGATATTGTCAGCATGGCTTTTCCGTTTTTTGTACTCCTTCATACAGGCCCTCAGTGCCTACCCAATGCTGGGCACAGAGGACATATTCCGTAAGACTCAGTAATGGATTGGCATTGCCATCTGTCTCTGCATCAGTTCTGATTGGCTTCAGTTCTACCCCTAAACACACCACTAGTTCTAAAATAGAATAAATATGTCTTCTCAAAAATTTTAAAAAGTAAGTAGACTTGAGGAGGGAAAGGGGTTAGGGCAGGAGAGAGATCAGTTCCGATCCGGTGGTTCACAGTCCAGGAGCTTGCTCTGGTGGGTGATAATGTTTGAGCCCTCACTGTCTGTGACTCCAGTGAAGCTCCCAGGGGTCAGTGAAATGAGTCCATGTAATTTGAGGGAATCAAAAATTATTAACAACAAGCTTGAGGGGTCACAGGGAGGGGTGAGGCTAAAGGCAGACTCTGAGATGCCATTTCTAACACAGAGGCCACTGGGCCTGATTAATCCCAGAGATGCAGGAGCAGTTTCAGCAGAAACCTCCCCTCCCTGGCCTTCACCAAGCAAACTGGATCCCCAGGCAGGCCCGGGGCAAGGTGTTTTAAGCCATTCAGCTCCACCTGAAAGGAGAATTTCAGTATATCAGGGTATATTTGGTCTGTTCTCCCCTATTCCACAGGTGTGGAGACTGAGGCCCAGAACATAAATGAAATGTGACCCACGTTGTAGAATTCAGGAACAGAGCTCAGGTCTCTCAACGTCCACTTCAGTGGGTTCCTTCTAGCAAATGAGAGCCGAATGGAAAGCAAGTGCATACACGCACACACATGTGCACACAACACACACATGTGTGCACACACGTGCACATACACCACACACACCACACATGCACACACATACACATGCTCTTCAGTTGTTAAACCATCAAAAGTGAAATCCATTCTTCACCCAGTGTCTACTCCAATTGTACACTTGTAGCAGTTTTAACTCTTATTTGGGGGGAGAGGAGAAAGTAAGCTGGGTAGGAGAAAGGACATCTTAGCAGGATCTCAGATCCACATCCTCTTTCCTAGTCATCCATCTGACCTATGACATCTGACATCGGTCCCCCAAAGTGAAGGGGATTTGGGGAGAGGGTTTGTACTTCTCCTACAATTTCTAAAATTACATCCGGTAGACTTACTCTTCTGACTTCCCTGGCCCTTCTCCAGAACAACTGTCTCAAAGCCCTTCTTCATCCCTCCTGCCCTAACCCCTCCACCTCCCTCACTCTCTGCTGGAGACCTGGTCCGGCTAACCTGCCCCAAGACTCACATGATATCCTCACCTGTGTAGGGAGCATCACTGCAGTCACCCCATCTGATGCCCTTCCAGAGCCCTCTCTCCTTGGTCTTCAGACATGCTCCAGGCAACTCTCTGAAACTTCCCCAGCCTTCTCCTTCCCTTCTAGCACCTTCTCAAGATATGAATCCTTCTCCTACTGCCTCCACTTCTCCCCAACCACTCACACCTCAATCCATATTAATTCAATGTATATTTGTCAGAGTCTCTACAAGGTATCAGATGCCACATTGGGTGTATTTTGGGTAATGCAAACACAAGTCCTCATTCCTTGGCTTCTGCCATCATAATTCTGCCCCAAGGAGTCTTCCTGTGGTCCTCAGTGTCCACCTAAATACCAAATTCCTGACCACATGCCTCAAATCCATCTTGGAACAAGGCAAAGCTAAATATACATGTGTGCATGTGTGCATGTGTGCAGGCCAAGGCCAGGGTCCAGCACCATACCTGGAACATAATAGGTATTTGATAAACACACTAATATTTTCTGGCTTTTCTTTCTCTTCACCCTCTCTTGTTTTTAATTCTATGTGCACTCTTTCCTTTCCAAATCTCCCTTCCCCTGTGTTTACTTGGATACTGCTTGTGTCTGAGCTTCCTCTGGCTCAGGTCAGGTTTTCCAGAAAACAGACTGATAGAGATTTGCTGGAGAACATTTACTGGGGGCTTTTCATGATGTTATTATGTCTTTTCTGTTTTAGTCCCAGAACCATACACTCCCTCTCCAGCTTGCAACTCCCATTCTTCCTCCACGTGCCCAGCATACCTTTGCAGACTTGTCTGCAGTTGCTGCCTCTGCTTTGCCACATCCCTCCTCCCACCACTGTCCACTGAGCCCTCACTGCCTATTCCGTGGGACCACTATGACCATCCTCTGTCCCTGTTATAACGAATCTATCCCTAACATGGACACAGCTGAGCCTCTTTCTCGAGATAGTTTCTTCATCAGGTGTCCTCCTTTTCCTCCTACCTCAAGGACCTGCCTGTCATGGCCTCTCTTGCTGATTTATCTTGGCTGCCTTATGGGCTGCTGAGCCTCTACTCAGTGGAGGCCCCCCCCTTCTCCACATGCACTTCCTGCCTGAGTGATCCCAGCCATTCCCAGACTCCCAAGGCCAAATATATAATGACCCTCTTCAAATTTGAGCCACAGTCCCAATACCCACTTTGAGCTCAAACATATATTTATCTGCCTATTAAAGAGCTTTTTTTTTTTGAATACCCAATAGGCGTCTCAAAGTTAATGTGTCCTAGTAGAATAGCTGATTCCCCTTCATACACACACAGTGCGTAGACCTGGCTTCATGGGCACAGGTGTGACCAGTGTAGTTGCCCACAGTACTGCACACAGATGGAGACCTGGCACTTGGGGTTTAATGTTTATGGTCATCTCAAAGTTCTTAATAATTTGACATGTAAATCTGTGGGTTTTTTTAAAGATTTTATTTATTTATTCATCAGAGACAATGACAGAAGCAGAAACATAGGCAGAGGGAGAAGCAGGCTCCCTGCGGGGAGCCCAATGCGAGACTCAATCCCAGGATCACCCCCTGAGCTGAAGATAGATACTCAACCACTAAGCCATCCAGGTGCCCTGGATCTGTGGGGGTTTTTTTGTTGTTGTTGTTTTTTAGATCTGTGTTTTTTAAGTGAGGTTCAGTGGGCCTAGGAAGCAAGCACCAGGACCCTGGAGCCTTGACTCAATGCTCAGTGCCCCTCTTATCATCTCTCTGTTTCTCTGAGATGGGCTCGAGGCCGCTTGTTTCCCCATTCCTACCCAGTGAACACTGCCTCCTCCATCCTGTGTGACTCTGGGGATGGGATAGGTGTCAGGGTATGTATGGGAGGAGGGTCATGGTCAGGTACATGCATCCTGGTACCAAGTCAAAGTATGGGCCTTGGGTCCCTGTGAGAGTCCACAGTCACCCTGTTAGTATCCCTGTGCCCAAGAGAGCATGACCTTACACAGTAAATTTTAAAAACTAAGCAAACAACAACAACAACACAAAAACACACTGCCAGGTTGAGAGACTGCAGAAGAACAGAAATAGATTTTTCCCTACTTTTTTGAACAAGAGAACCCACATTTTCATTTTGCATTAGGCCCCAGAGATGATGTAGCCAGCCCTGAGTGGATGCAAGTCTGGACAATTGGACTGGAAACAGGTTGTAAGGGACTGACTGCTGGGAAATTCAGTCTTTACTTTGTAGACCAAGACTGGCAAGATTTTCCTGTAAAGGGCCAGATGGTAATTATTTTAGCCTTTGCAGGCCATATGGTCTCTGTTGCAACTACTCAAAGCTGCTTGCAAAAGCAGCCATAGACAATATATAAACCAACAGGAGGGCTGTGTTCCAATAAAACTTTATTTATAAAAACAAACAGTAGGCCAGATTTGACCCTCTGACTATAGTTTGCCATGTCCTGTTGTAGACAAAGGAGAGTTATTGAAGGCATCTGAGTTACAAAAAGGACAAGCACAGGAGTTTCTAGAAAGTTATCTTGACCTCACTGTTCAGGATGGATTGGAGGAGTCAACCTAGGGTGACCTGGTTTTGCAAAATGTTGCAAGACTCTCAACAAAGGAGCCAGTGGCCAAGATTCTGTAGTGGGCAGTAAAACCAGGTAACACAAAAGCGTCATCAGGGTGCCAAACCACAAGATCAGTAACCCACCTTGAACCTTCTGCCATCCAGAGGAAAGAAAGAGCAAGAGGAGGGTCCGAACCACCTTCACCACCGAGCAGCTGCATGAGCTGGAGAAGATCTTCCACTTCACCCACTACCCAGATGTCCACATCCGCAACCAGCTGGCAGCCAGGATCAACCTCCCAGAAGCTCGGGTGCAGGTACAGCAGTCCCCACCCTCAGCCTCCAACCTCAAGGCTTGGGGGCCATGGGTGAGACCCCACATATCATGGACCCTAGGGCTGCCCCAACTGGAATTTCCCATTGCCTTTATCCCTTGAATACAGTCATATTTGCCAAAGATTATTTCCAGAAAATGAGGTCACCATAGTTACAAGATGGTTTCTCTCTGGGAGGTGGAAATGAAGCAAGGGGGCATCAGTGATGGCCGTTGGTATCGGCTTCCTGCCTTCCCTCCCCACCTGGCTATAGCCCCCCCTGCAGCCTCATTCACAGAATAAGTGTTGACAATCTACACCAGTGATCATCAAAGACCAGTGATCTTTTCCTGTAAAAGGCCAGATGGTAATTATGTTGGGCTTTGTGAGGCCATACGGTCACTGTCTAAAACTTTATTGAGGAGCTCTACAATTTGAATTTTGTATAATTTGCATGTGTCACAAATATTCTTCTTTTATCTTTTCCCCAACCTTTTAAAAATGTGAAAGCCATTCTTAGCTCATGAGCCATCCAAAATCAGGTAGGAAGGCCAGATTTATCCTGCAGTCTTTAGTTTGCCAACCCCTGATCCAGATCTCATGGGCATCACTTTGAAAACAGTATAGAGAAGGAAAGGACCATCCATGGTCAGACACCTGATTTAAGTACCAGCTGCCTCATCTAGAGGCTGTCATTTCTTCACCTTGGAGTGTCTATGGCTTCTTCTGTGGTTAGAGATACAGTAGCCCCTTGTCAGTCACCAAGGGTATGTATGTCCCACCTCTCTGCACACCCCTAATTTTGCAAGTACCGTTCTAGCAAATCCAAATCCAATGGTTGCGCTATTGGCTGGCTCTAGAACACTTCTCTACATCACTCTTTTTTTTTTTTCAATCAAATATGATGGACTCATTCCAAATTCAAAAGCTGAGCCAGGGTCCATGTCAACATTTTACACTTGATTTTATCCCAACCTACTTTTCTTCTGGCTAAGGACCACCCGTGTTGTAGACATCCCCCTTTCTCCTCCCTTTCAGAATCAGTCAGGAGCTAAGTGAATAGCACCTGTATCTGCTGTAAAGCTGCCTCGGCAGAAAGGCCAAATACAAATGCCCACATGTCAGGGACAGCCAGGGACCCCGTGAATACAGAGAGCTGCCAATATTCAACCTATAGATGCCAAGGGGCCCACAGGGGCTGCAAGCCGGTGGAACTGCCAGCAGGAAAAAGCCCACGATGAGTTTTATTTCATCTGCACAGTGTTTTAAGCCTCAAAGTGTTCACATAAAAATCGAGATTTCCGCCTTAGATATTGGATGGGCCTGTAATGCCAGGCTCACATTTCTGCATAATGACTGCTAGCTGAAGCCAAGAAGCTGTGCCCTTCGGGCTCTGTTCACCACAGACTCCGCCGCTCCTGCTTACAGGGCATCCAGCTGCTCCGCTCGTGCGTGAGCCCCCAGCCCCACAGGCACTGAAGGTCCTGATGCCTGGTGCCCTCTCAGAGGGCAGACCTCCAAGGAAAATCCTGATGCCATGGAGCTTCCTCAACTGTAAAGTGCCAGTCCCTGGGGGAAGCAGCGGTATTAAGCTTAGGGGGAAGGTAATGGATGGAGAAAGGCCTTGCTACAGATCTACATCCTCTCTCTCGCCCATCCCAGATCTGGTTCCAGAACCAGCGTGCCAAGTGGCGGAAGCAGAAGACTGGCAGCCTTGGAGCTTCACAGCAGCTGAGTGAGGCCGGCTTGGCCCTGGCCACAAACCTGGACGTGGCCGTGAGTAGCTGAGGCTCTAAGTGGGGCTGGGGGGCACTGTCTGCAAACATCCCACCCAGACCCAGAAGTGAGGAACCTCGGGGGCTCTGTGTGCAGTAAAGAGTACAAGGGAAACTCTTCCAGAAAGAGCATGGCCGAGGGCGCTCTGGATGTCAGTGGGACCTGCCACAAGTCGCTGTCCCACTCCATTCCCATGTCCTCATCCACTGAGGGACTATCCCGGTGCCTCTCCTTCCTCCGGGGACTGGCTTGTATTATTGTGCAGGACTTCACAGTCTGAGGAACAGGCAGGCGGGGAGTAAGGGGCAGTGCACAGAGGTTGGGCAGATAGGCTCGGAGTCAGACTGCCCGGATTCGAAGCCCACCTGCACACTTAGCAGCAGTGTGGCCTGTCAGAGTCACGTCACCCCTCGGAGGACAGTAGTAGTTCAATGAGAGTGAAATTGATGAGACATGAAAAAGCTTGGCACCTAGGAAGTGCGCCCCGAGCATGAGCTGTCTGTGGGGTCCACACGTATGGGAGGGCATGCCAGACGCAAACCAGCGGGGACCCAGCAGCATGCAACACGGGCAGGCCCATGCTTACAGGTGTGTGCGTGCCCGCAGTGACACTATCAGGGAGGATTTCTTTCTTTATTCATTTTTTGCTAATGCAGAAACTGGGCACCAAGAAGCAAAGTGACTGTTTCACATCAAGCAAGTCCTGTAAATGCCAGGATTCGGACCAGGTTTCCTGGACCCCAGGGCACACATCTCTCCCCCAACATGGTCCATGCCCAAATCCTGGAGGGAAAGGTTGGGAAGCCCCAGGACAGCCCCAGGTGAAGCTTAGGACTCACTTGTCTCTCCTGACTTTCCTCTTGTGACAGGGCCCCATGCTGCCGCCCTCCGCTCCGCCCCGGCTGGCCCTTCCCACGGGGTGTTATCCACCAGCTCCAGGCCAGCCCGCCTCTGCCTGGTTCCCCGGCCAGATCACCCTCCTGCCTGGCCTCCTGTGGGAGACACAGCCTCTCCTAGGCTCTCTCATTCAGCAGACCTGCATCCCTGCACTGTGCTGCCTTCCACCTGCGAACCCCAAATGGGGCAGCCCCTGTGCCACCTCCACATAGGGATGGAATAACCTCTCGCCAATGGAGCCGCTCCCCTCTCCAGGTGAAGAGGAGGGCAGGAGGGTGCCCGGGACTCTAGGGGAATCGATCTCAGCACCCAAAGATGGCCCACAGCCCGGGAAGCTCCCTGAGCACACCCCGGGGGGGAAGGTTGCATTGCACTCAGAGCAAAGTGAGCAATACGGGAGCTCTCATCGCTCTTCCCAAGTGGTCCTCCGGTCTCAGAAGACAGAGGCTGCATGAGATGCCGAGATGAGCTCTGGAACAAGGAGGACATCATCTTCACTCATGCTTCCTCTAACTCGCTGTGTGACCTCCAGCTCGTTACTCATCATCTCTGGACCTCATCTACAACACAGGCAGTTGGACAAGGAAACTTCTGAGGACCCTTCTGGCTCTTCTTCAGTGAGGTGAACTGTGGTGAGAACAGGGGATTAGAGGAGGCCCAGGAGGGGTTGTCTGGTCATTCCTGATACATTTATTGAGCACCTACTGAATAATCTATAAACGGAACTGGATCTAGACACGAATAATCGAGTCTCGCCCCCAGGAGCTCAGTCCAGGTCGGCCCAAGGGGTCACGCTGAGCTTCCCCTACAAGCAGAACACGCGCTCAGTGACCTTGCAGTTGGCCCATGCCTAACAAATTCTGTATGGCTTTGACGTGAATGTGCAAAGTGGAAGGTAAATATAGGGAAAGTTGGTTTTTTGTTTGTTTGTTTTTTAATTTAAGACAGAACATTGTATCTTTGGTTATCCTGCTGGACTGGGGAGGGATGTTGTATTTACAGTCTGAATAAAGACTATGACAGTAAGCTCTTTTCAGAGTTTATTTTCCAGGACTAGTGCAAGGAGCCAGCTGGAAGGCCAGACTCCCTCCCTTGGGATTGGCCCTGGGGAGCCTGAGGACTCTGCTGTTTCCTTGTAGTGAGACCTTGGACAAATCACATGCCCAGTGTGAGCCTCAGTTTCCACTTCTGTAAAACTATGGTAGTAAGCCCCATCCTGCCTGCCTCGAGAGCAAAGGGGAGGCTCTAAAAGGGAGTGGAAGTGCTGCCCCAAGTGTGAGGTCCAGGCCCATTGGGGATGGTGGTGTCCCCAGATCCCACTAGGACAGGGCTGCTTTGGGTCCCAGGTCTGGAACATGCCACTCCTACCTCCAGGGAGACCACCTCCAAGCTTCCCTTCGGCCTGAGCACTGCCGAGAGACACCCTGCTGTGGAGGATGGGGCCTGCTCCTCCTCACTGGGCCTGCTGGGCTGAGCTCTGTGCCACAACTCACAAGTTTGGGCAATCTGTCCCAAATTCCAGAACCTCTGCAATCTGGCCCTGTCCCCGCTGCAGCCAGGAGTTGGACGGGGAGCCTGTCCTCCTCCCTCTGATCTACTGTAGAAGCTTGCCACCCCGTCACTCTGGCCTGAGCTTTCTCATTTGTGAACCGAGGACAACCATACCAGCTCCAGCCTCAGCCACGCACCCTGCCAGAATCAGACTACGGTCCACAAACGTGACTGGGCTTGGCAACCTTACAAGTGCCAAATCACTCAGCGCCCAGGAGTGTTACACTGACACCTAGTCTCCAGCAAGCTCTAGGTGAAAGGAGAAGACTAAGGGCTGGGGGAGCCAAACAGCCCATCAACAGGGGGTAGGGCTAGGAAAGTGCTCCTACAAACACCAGGTCCCTGGCTGGAGGGGAGGGACACCTGCTTCCCTGAAAGCATCCACTGGGGACGCCTCAGGCATGACCCCTCCACTCCTCCCTGTGCTGCACCACCTCATCCCATCCCCTGCTGGAGTTCACTCCATACCCTCTGCTGCAGCACCCCCTCTCACGATGGGAATGCCCGTGCTTCTTCTCTCTGGCTCCCAGCCCATTTCTCAGGAGCAGGAGAAGAAGTCCACAGCCCCCCTACATCTGCAGGGTCATGAAGCCCTGGGCCAGGCAGGGCACTCTCCTTTTAGACCCCTTGCAGCCATTTCTCAGGCCCTGGTGGACATGAGGATCAGGGACAAGATTGCAGATGCCTCTTCCAGATGGAACAGAAAAGCAGAGATATGCTCCGTCCTGGGGTCCTCCTGTAAGGCTGGGTTCTCCAAAGAAAAAGAACTGTATGTATATATATTTTTTTCCTTAGTATGAGGAATTGGCCTTCATGGTTATGGAGGCTGAGAAGCCCCATGATCTGCAGTGGGAGAGCCAAAGACCCAGGAGACAGCGGACGGCAAAAGCTCCAGTCGGAGTCCGGAGGCAGGAGTAGACCAAAGTCCCAGGTCGGATACAGGCAGAGAGCCATTCTCCTTTCCTCCCTTTGGTCCATTCAGGCCTCATGTTCACTCACACAGGGTAGAGCAATCTGCTTGATTCAGCCTACCGTTCAAACGTTAATCACACCCAGAAACATCTCTCAGCTGCACCCATTATATCACTTAGCCAAATATCTGGTCACCCCATGACCCCAGTCAAGTTGATATAAAATTAACCATCACGATCCGCATCCCCTTTCCCAGTCACATATTCTCCTTCCCCTAGAATCCTCTAGAAAGAGGGTTTCTTGTCAACCATAAGAGGTTCAGGTGACCAGAACGTCTCAAGTTCAGTACAGATTTAAAGTTGATTTGGGGGGAGCAACTCTTCCTCCCTAAGGATTTATATTTTCCCCATAATAACTATTTTATTTGCTTACCTTATATCTGTGGTGCAAAGGAATCACCTTTATTATTATTATTATTATTATTATTATTATTATTATTATTATTCATGAGAGACACAGAGAGAGAGGCAGAGATACAGGCAGAGGGAGAAGCAGGCTCCCTGCGGGATCCCAGGACCCCGGGATCACCACCTGAGCCAAAGGCAGACGCTCAACTGCTGACCCACCCAGGCGCCCCCAAAGGAATCACTTTAGAATCCATACCAGCTGTGTGACTTTGGGCTAGTGATGTGCCCCCTCTGTCGAACAGCTTCTGGTCTTTCAGGGTTTCTGTGACAATTAAATGAGTTAGTACAGCTCAGCACATGGCAAGTGTAGAGAAAAAAGCCATACTCCCAACTCTCCCCTCCACTTCTTTCTACTTCTGATCTTGAGCAACTATTCTGACCCCAGACTCTATGCTAGGAGTTTTTTTGCTGTTGGTGGTGGGTTTTTGTTTTTGTTTTTGTTTTTGTTTCGAGAGAGAGAGAGAGAGACAGAGCATGGGGTTGGGGTGTGGGGCAGAATGAGAGAGAGAGACAGATCCTTAAGCAGATTCCACCCCCAACACAGGGCTCTGCAAGGGGTTTGATCTCATACCCTGAGATCATGACCTGAGCTGAGTCAGTCAGTTAACTGGCTGAGCCACACAGGCACCCCTCTCCTAGGAGTTCTTAAACCAGTGTCCCAGAGGCCAAAGAACTCTCAAAAGAACATGCAAAATTGTGTCCATCTGTCTGTTTATTCTTCCCAGGGAAAGGGTCCATTGCTTTCATCAGCTTTTCAAAGAGCACCCTGCAGCTAAAAGTAATCCTAATAAAGAATCCTTGTCAGACATCCCTGAGTCAGATCCTGACAGGCTCATGTGTCTAGCTGTGTGGACTAGAAGCTTGAGAAAAGTTAAAGGATACCTTTTTAAAGTAACATCGTACATATGAATATAAAATGAACAAGTGCCAAAGCTTTATTTAACTCTCAGATGAGGGAGCCAGTAAGACGGCCCAGCATCTCCAAGGATAGCTGAGAGAAGGGACATGGGTACCTAGGCCATCAGGAAGGCTGAAATGAATGACAAATCGAGGCACAGCGTGCCCATCGCCACCAGGACAGAATCAATTGCATCTCCACCAGACACAATTCATTTGCATTTCTATGGACAAGAAGCCTTTGCATTAATACCAGTTTAAAAAAAATGCAATTTAAAGAGTTGAATGGGAGCTCAAGCAGAGGGAGAGGCGCTGATACACCCAAGACTGTGCTAGACTGAACACCTAGTAAACTTTTCGTGCCTATTTCAGAGTATTTCGTGATTCTTCCTCACCTAAAGGCCCTGGATCTCTGCATCTCCCCTTCCTCAATTATTAAATCGACAAGATAACAAACCTGCCTCGGAAGACAGCTGCGGGATTAGAGTAGATGACGTTTGTAGTGTCCTGCACTTGTAAAACACTTTACAAATGCAGGGAATTATTTTGTATTGCTTTGCAAAGTCCTCTAGAACTCGAATTTAAACGTCTCAAGTTTAAACATCTATATCTAGAAGCTGTTTAGGAAGATGGTAACATTTCTGTAATATCTATTGACCTTTTACAGTTCAATTCGTAAGAAGGCTAAACAAGCCTTGGAAAATAAGCAAAGAGTGGAAATAAGAAATTCACAGGGAAGAAAAACATACAAATAGATACTAAACATACAAAAATACACTTAACCTCATCCATAATTTAAAAATGCAAATAAAACAGTAAGGAAATACATTTTTTTCCCTTTCAGATTAGCAAATGCTTAGCATCAATAAGGGGTTGATATGCACACTCGCTCTCACACATAAGGAAATGCTAATTAGGAAATCATTTTGGAAGATGAGTTGACAAACATTAATATTCTAAATGCAAATCTCTTTGACCTATGATCGTATTTGCAAGAACTCATCTGATAAATACACATGGGTATAAATACCATATATAAGAATGTTCGCCAAGGCTTTGTGATAACAAAAACTGGAAACCACCCACGCAGGAGACTGGCTGAGCTGATTACAGTATATTCATCCAGCTATTAAAAATAATGGGAGAAATTGAAATGCACCTCGTGGGAAATTGTCATTAGACACGTCATTAAGTGCAAAAAGCAAGCTGCAGACGGACATTATGATCTCATTTGAGTATGAGAAGGATAACGATGTCCTGATATATAAAAACATCACCTCTATGTGGACAATTTCTGCATACATTGGCTTTCGGTCCACAACAAATCACTCCAAAACTCGGTTGCTTGAAACAGCGATTTCTTTGGCTCATGTCTCTGGCTTGACCAGTTCTTCATGGGGTCTGGGCTGACTGGGCTCATCTCTTCCGGGGCTTTGCACACATGTGTGGGGTCAGCTGGCCAGCGGGCGGTGGTCTGGGACGGCCTCAGTCACAGG